CGTGTTCATGGTAACTTTGCATACAGGCGTCCAAAATTCAATTGGATGGTACCAACGGCTTTAGAATCATCATGTTAGTATAAATCACATATTAAAAGTCATGAATAACGTATGAAAATGCAAACACGATTATGAAATTTTTACAGAAAAGTTAGACTCCTATCTACCAATTCTTTGCGCTTGGAGAGTTGATTTTGATCGGAGTAGCTTCCTGAATGTGTCAGGAGTGCAATGGAACAATTCTTTTGCTTTGAAACGACCTGCAACTATGAAAACAATTTCAACTTTTTTATGAAAAAATGCAAGTTTTGTTTGTGTTCTTGGGCGCAGCTTTCTTGCTCTTGTGATTAGGGTTAGGTTTCTGTATGTATATGGAATGATTTTGGTCAGAAATCCAAGCCCAACAACCATGTATTCAATGCTTTTGAGATTTGATTTCAATGGTATCTTTTTCAATCTTTTTTCATGCCAAATATGCCAAATCATGAATGATTCTTTCCTTTTTCAGTATGCACGAAATATTGAGGCTTTGATGAGTGGAAATGCTGCATAAAAAGATTTGAAATGTGGCATTTAGTATTTTTTCATATTTAATTTTAATTAAATGAATTAATGGTAATAAAAAATTCAAATAATTAATAAAAAATAAGAAAATAACTCCCCTTTGGGTCAATGGGTCGTGCATAGCTTTTGGGTGATGATTCTTGGAAGAAATTGTGGCCCATTAGCAATTTTGAGGCATTTGAAGTAAAGTTGACTTTTCAAAATTTCCAAACATTTCCCAACTTCCACAAGGCATATATTGCTCAATTTTTAAGCTTTGATCATGTTCTTGCACATTTTGGAAAGGTCTTGAAGTCCTCTAACCAATGCCTTTGGTCCCATGTCATTTTGATTTACCAATCGCAAGTTATGGTCTTTGACTTAAAGTCCCTTTTTGTTGACTTTTGAAAATGACCTATAATGTTGAAATTGATAACTTTTTGTGAGAGCATTTCTTGGACTTGAAGTGTGAAGAGGAGTTGTAGGAAATGTCATTCTCTTCAAAATGAGCTTTGGATGGAATTTTTCTGATAAACCATGTGGAAGTTATGCCCTGGTCAATTTGCAGTTGACTTTTCCAACTGTCCAAAAATAGAAACTTTTGCATCTTGAGACTTTTTGAGCCATGCTTTGAGAATCATGATCAAGAATTGATCCAATGATGTTTGTGGCCTCAAAATAAGATGTTGACCAAAAATTTTGACTTTTGACTGTCAAATGACCATTTTGCCCCTGTAGTTGACTGTTGAGCAATTAGGGTTTTTGACTGTGCAATTTTGTGCTGTAAGTCTTGAAACTTGGCATAAGGATGCTTGACAATGTTTATGGGCATGTGGGACTTGTTTGGACCCTTGAAAACTTCAATTTCTTTTCCAGAACCAAAACCCTAATTTTGACTGTTAGGAGGCCATTGAACTGTGCAACCTTTGGGAGATTTTGAAGCATGTTCTTTGCAAATATTGAAGAATATGGGAGGGCAAATTTTGGGGTACAACACCTTGATCATCATTCTTGTTGCAATTGATCTCACCCTTTTGACAAGTCGAATTCTTCAAATTTTTGGACTCTCTTCCATCAAAGTTGTCACCATCCACACATTAATGAATAAAAAATAGCGCCTTAAAAACCTTCTTCTTCTCTTCCTTATGTGTTACTCGTTGTGCATCTGTTTCACCTTCGACAAGAGGAATCACCATGTTTTCGACCACTTCGAGAACATCTTGGTAGTCAAACAACACTTTCATTTGATTGCACTATTTGTCGTAATTCTTCGCATAAGGATGTGTAGATTTGTAGGGATTCTTTCATTTGAGACATGATTCATGTTGCACACTAGATGTTTGGTGGATCGAATCACACTTTTGATGACAAATTTTAGAACTTGGAATCACTTTGTTCGTGAAAATGAAGGGTCTGAATGTGGAGAGTGAGTGTTTGTGTGTGTGTGAGAGAGAGAGAGTGTGGAGAATTAGAAAGAGGAAAATTATAGGGAGAGAGAGAGAGAGATAATGGTGATAATATTTTCATTGACAACAATACCTCCAAGGAATTGGATTGGGATACAAGTAATCAAGCCAAAAAAAAGTAGAAAATCTCATATCTGTAACGGGTTACACTAAATTTATAACTGGTCACAACGGTTACAAAATTAAATTCAATACAGTGGGAACCAGTTACAGCAACCGGTTAGGATAACCTATTACTGCGAATGCGTAATTGATTACATCAACTCCAAAATCAGTTTTTCTAAGCTTATTCGACTTTTTCACATACCTGTAACCCATTGCACCTAAAGCTGTAAAATGGGTCGGTCCGGTCCAGCCTGCTTCGGTCCGTTGAGCCAAAATATTTAAATGAGATGGCCCGGCCCAGGCCAATTTCTTAATGGGTTATAGAAAATAAGCTCAGTCCATTTATCAATGGCTTGTGCAGCCCGATGGGTCAGACAGGCCTGTATTTCAATATTATAGTTTTAATTTTATAAAAAAGGATATAATGGATAAAAGCTACATAACATAAGTAGGGAGTCATCATAAACTTAATTAAGTGATGTTTAAAATATTCATCAAATCAATATATATATATATATATATATATATATATATATATATATATATATATATATATATATATATATATATATATATATATATATATATATATATATATATATATATATATATATATATATATATATATATATCAGAAAAACATTCATATAAAAGTACATAGTAATTTAATATTATCACCAATATTTATCAAATTTTCTCTTCCTCTCACAACCATTTCCTTGATCACATCATCTTAAAAATATTTTTTCATCCTCTTTAACTTTTCTTTATTACTTAAAAACACACTTACGCAATCATATATAATCTTAATTTTTTTTCTAAAATTTACCAAAATCTTTTTTTAATGAGTCAGTCTGAAGCCCGCTTGACACGGCCCGACCCATGAAAAATATAGGCCCGATGGATTGGACTAAAAAAATAAAATCCTACTTTTTAAAGGTATTTTATGGCTCGACCCATACTAAATTATTGAACTTATAGGTTCGCCCAATAGATCAGGTCCATTTTAACAATTTAGCACCTCCGTGATAATCAATTATAACACTTGAATTATCAATTTTCTCTTAACAATTTTTAATCTCTCAATTTCTTTTTAGTTAGCTCCCACAAATAAAAGTTGGCATGAAAGATCACTTGTTCTTTTTTTGCGTGACAGTTTATTGTCTAATACGATGATTAGATACTTAGATGGTTAATAACATGAAAATATGAACTATTGACCATTTATATCAACTTCCATTTTTTCATTGATTGTGGTTTGAGTGATGATAAGATGGTTACCAAACATGAAATAACGTGAACTTCAATTTTTTGTCTCATTGTTTGCTGATTAGAATGATGACTAAAAATAATATTTAAAATAAAAATATTTTATAAAAAATAAAAAAAAACTAAAAGTGATATATTTAGGAGAGTTTAAACATGTTTAATCTTGTAAACAAAAATCAATTATTTTAGAACTATTTAGGATCTGTTTATTTCATTTTTTTTAAAATGATTTTTATAGTATTACATATTTTTATGTAAACAAATTTATAATTATTCTAATGAAAAATTTAAATAGAAATTTTATTTAAATAATTATTTTTAAAATGTTATTTTAAGTATTTTATCAACAAAAAAAATTGAATATTAAAATTTTAAAAAATCACTTAATTTTAAAACTATTTAAAATGATTCTTTTTAAAAATTATTTTTGAAATATAATATTTTAAAAATTTTATAATTTCGACTATGTTTTGATCTTCAATAATATATATTTCTGTTATAAGATATAAAAGTTAGATTTTCTATTTAAAAAAAATTGTAATATTTTGAAAAATATTTTTATAAATATTATTTTTTAAAATATAAAAAAAAATCTATTTTCTTAAAGCTAAAACGAACATACCTTTAATCTAATTTTGCTAATATAACTCTTATTTAATTAAAAATATTTTTAGGAAATTTTTCATTGAATATTAACAAAAATATTTTAATAAATTTATTTATTTTATCTCAAATCTAAACTTTTGTTAACATAATCAACATTTTAAATTACTGTAAAAATAATACTTTTTTAATATAATTGTGAGTCTAATTGAAGCGGAATATAGATTTACCGATATATTTAGGGTTGCTTTTTTCATCTTTATATATGTTCTTTTACACTATCATAAAAAGCCACGAATGTTTCTAGAGTTCAGGGATGCATGTCTAAATGCATATTTTTAAGCCATTTTTCATACCAAATTGAAGATGCACCCCTATTCTATCAAAATTTAATCCGGAAATGCATCTTCGTATACGTAAAAGATATGTCCGAATATGCATCTCAGTATACACCATTTATTTAAATATTAGTGTGTGGTCCAGAGATGCATCTCCAGACGCTTTTGTTTCATATCCCGCGTCGGACCTTCCTTTTTCCTGCTTCTTCGCTTTCTAAAAAACTTTCAAAATAAAACATTTGAGCTATGCAACATTGAACCTTCTCATCCATTTATTCAAGCGTCTAACATTCGAGTTCTACAACATTGAAACTTATTGTCCTTTCCAGCATCTAAAACATTGAAGCTACTTCTCTTCTTTTGATTAGGTAAGTATTTCAATATTTGGAATTTTTATTGTTTAATTTATAGTAGTTGTTTAGGCTACATTAGTTGTATTAGGTACGATAGACAGTAGTGTAAACGAATTTGGTAGACTAGAAGAATATGCATTGACATATTTTTTTAGGGTTAAGGCAACAATGGCGTCTGCGCCATGACTGAGAATATCAGTTTTTTTCAGAGATGCATCTTTGAATTTTCTCTGTGCTTTTTTCGAATACGCATATCTAAATTTGGGTGATTTTGTGGATTTGTACTGACATGATGTTTTTCTCTGTTTTGGTTTGTAACGTAAATGCAATGGCTATTAACAACTATGAAAATAACCCTGGCAGAGTTAGGCTCAGATGCGCGTTCTAAACTGCGTCGACACGAAGTGAGAGGACCATAGTTAGGACCACGAGGCCACAGGTTAATGATAACTCATTTGATGGTTCATAACCATCAAGTTTGCATGGTCGTGGTTTTGCTTCTCGTAGCCACCTCTCTCAGGCATCCACTTTACGAAGCCAAGAGCCTCCTAATGATGTAGTAGACCCTGAAGCCCCTGAAGCTCATGAGGAAGCCAATGGCCCATTAAAGAGTTATCCATGAGGTACATTTGACACATCATTACTTCATATCTATGTAAATCATGTTTCTAGACATATATGGGAAGGAGAGGTAAAAAAAATCCTTTTGCGATACATATGTTTCAACTTATTAAATCGATACTGATGGTAATATTTTCTTTTCACAGGAGCGTGCATGTTTGAAACTGGTAAACCACGGGAAAAAGATATTGGTGTTGGGGCAACCCACTGCTAATTGATTTCAATATGTTCTCTGATATTCCGGTCTTTCCGGTTTATGTTATACTGCGTACATGACCATATTCCGGACATGCATGCGACTTTTGCAGAGAGGTGGAATTCATAGACTTCGTCTTTCCACCTCCCTATAGGAAAGATGACCATCACCTTGGATGACATCTCATGCCTCATGCATCTTTCCATAACTAGAAAATTGTTGGACCACCGAATGATCAGTCTAGAGGAAGACGTTGATATGATGGTCACCCATTTGGGGGATGACCCAGCTGAGGCCTCATAGGAGGCACATGCCACTGAGGTGCTCATGCTAGGGCTAGTTTTTTGGAAAAGCTTTATAAAGACCATCTGGAACGGGTTATGGACGACGAAGATGATGACATGCAGATTGAGTACCATTGGACTTGCGCATTGAGGTGTTACCTCTTTTTCTTGGTTGACAATTCCATTTTTATGGACAAGAGTGCAACCTATGTTGATGTGGTCTATGTTAAGTACTTCATTGAACTGATTGTGATTCACAATTATAATTAAGGGGCCTCCTGTTTGGTCTACCTGTACTCTAAGTTATGCGAGAGTTTTTAATGGAAGACAAAGTAGATGACAAGGAGTTGCACGCTGCTTACGGTAATTTACTGTTACTAATATTTTTATAATTCATTTTGTTACACTTGTTATTAATATTGTATCTGAACAATTTTTCAAGGATGGATCATCTCCCATTTTCGCTGCATCACTGGGTTTAAATTTGCATATGCATAGATAAAGGATTGGTCGCGTGTTATTGTATTTCTTCCATACAGAGAGAATAATACAGTCGATCCATTCATAATGAATCTTGATAGTCTTGAATATATGACATATGCTTATGCTCATACACTCGTCACTATGAGACACGTCCACTTGATGTCGTACCCTTATACTCTGGATGGCTAGCATGTTGGTCTAGTCTGATGTATCCTTATCTACCCGAGTGAGTGATGCATCAATTTGAAGATTCTTCCAAGATCCCCATGTGAGTCTGCTCGTACTGATGTTTGTCACAGAGATCTTGATTCAATACTTGACAATTTCGAGAGTCACCTGGTAGTAGAGGAGTATTGCAGGGTACTAGCTCATGTATAGTGGGTCTTTGCAGACAATTACATCACATGGTTGTTTACCAGTGATTTCTGACAAACAACCGCTAGTCTTCCAAATCTTATGCTTTGGTAACTTACAGGATCGACTAGATTGATCCTAGGACATAGTCTTAGTGTTCTTACAGTCTGATTAGAAAGAAAACATTGTACGGATAATGACAAGGTTTTTCTATAGTTACAATGATCTCAAGATGTTTAAAGTTTGACTATGAATCTTAAATATGACTTTAAAGGGAATAATTTGGGAATTTGTGAAAATATAAAGACAATGCTTAATAAGAAAAGTTTAATAAATTTTTTAAAAGACTATACTGGAAACGAAAAAGGAATAAAAGTGATTAAAGACTTTGTACTGAGAAATTAATTCTGAATAAAATTGGTGGTGTTCTTACACATACATTATCAACAAACTCGTTTCTCTCGCTCCGGTACTTTGAGTATAATATGATTTTGTATACAATTCGAACACACTTTTTTCTAATATCTAAGACTTCTATTTATACTGATTTGACCCTGTAACACGGTGGGATAACTGACTTGGGTGTTTCGCGTTTGATCGCAATTGTTGCGGATAGCAAGATTCGCCACCGACTTTTCTTTTATCCAATAAGGAAAGGTTTAAAAGAACATGAAAGACCTTTTGAGATTATTTTTTGAGTTAGGGGGTAGGTTATGAAAAGAGAAGGTATTAGCACCCTTTTTCATTCGTAGTTATCTACGGGCTCTTAGTTGCTTTCTAGATCACTTTCTTTTTGTTTGAAGATGTGCTTGTGATGTGGGTTTTGAAAGTATTTTGAAAACATCTTTGTAATGGCTCTCGTTTCTATAAGAACATGTATTTGATACGGTGGCAGAACCGACTGTTTAATACTGGTTTACGTTTTTTGTTCGCAAATGTCGCAGTAAGCAAGAGTCGCCATCGACTTTTATTTGATCCAACAAAGGAAAAGGAAAAAGAACAGAAAAAACATTTTTCGAGATGTTTCTGAGTACGGGGGGTAGATTATAGAAAGGGAAGGTGTTAACACCCTTTCTATCCATGGTTTTCCATGGGCTCTTAGGTACTTGCTCATTTTGAAATTTCTTGTGTGTGTTTTGAAAAAAAGTTTTTGTTTAACTTCGTGATAACCCTTGTATCTGTCCTCAAGAGTGTGACGAAATTGTTTTTGAAAACTGTTTCAAAAGTGTTTATGTGAAAGAGTTTTTATTGTTTTGAGCAAGTACTTAAGATTTTATACCTACTCGAAAAAGGTTATTCGTTTTCTCGTTTCCTTTAGACAACACTATCCTACTATTAAGTAGTAGGTAGCCCTATCGTTGGAATTTGAGGGACTATCGAAAGAGACGAAATGGTCATTGAAGGCAACATGTAAAGATATCTTAGCATTTCGAAGGGACTATCACCATAAAATCATTTCTCGTAGGCAACTCGAGGGATAGTAAAGGACTATGATCTCTATGATGACTTTGAATTGCGGGTCTTTGCTAAGATATCCCTACGTTCGAGAGTCATGACCATTGTTTCCGAGGCAACCAAGTGAGATATACCCTAAGGGTGCAAGTGTGCAGCAGTGTTTGTTTTCAGATATTTATCTTGTAATTAAATGATCTATTTGATTGATTAAGAATACAAGCCTAGGTTGCTAACAATTATATACAAGCATATAAAATAAAAGCGAGAAAATAAAAAGAGTCCTACGCTATTACAAGGCTTTTGGGCAGATACATGAATATTTGACTGAACGTAAAGTGCAGAAATTAAAATCCTAATTAATCTATTACAAACTGGGCGCAGTTACATCAATAGTAAAAATTAATCGTACGGCAAAAATAATTAAGCGTGAGAATTAAAAACTGGAGAAAGGATTCAAAACCCTAAAAAACCCTAATTTGATCATTGAAAATATTTTTGGATTTTTTGTGAAAAAAGATTTGAATTTAACCTAATTTTTTATAATTAATTTTCATTAATGGAAAATAAATTAAAGTTGATGAAATTAATTTATTTACAAAAATTAATTTATTATAAAAAAAATTCTATTTTTGTGATTTTTATTTTATGATTTTATGAAAAAATTTGATTAATAAAAATAATTAAACTGAATAATGGTAATAAAAAAAACAAAAAAAAACTAGAAAAGATTAGAAATTAGGCCTGAGGGGGTGTAGGCCCAGATTGGAGGTTGTATTGCAGAAATTATGTTCAAGGCCCAGTCTTGTTGGCCCATAACCTTGCATGGAATCCAGTGTGTTTATGCCTGGAGTGTCCACCATGTGTTGTATCCTAGAAGCGTTGGATCTGGCGCCCTGAATGATCCAATGATGATGATATGGAGGCGTAGGATGTGCCTGCTTGGAATGGTAGCAGGGAATCTGCAAGGAAACATTGAGAAAAATATCACGTAGGAGGCAAGGATCGAACCCCTGACCTCCTACATGCGCGTCTTGCAAACCCTTCACTTGTACCACTGAGCCATTGTTTCATTCGTTGAATAATATAAACACAATACATTATATTAAATGAAAAGTCAGTGTAACAAGAAAATGCGCGCCAAGTTCAAACTGGACATTCACGTCTTGACACACCTTCATCTTCTTCAAGGAAATTGTCGTTTTAGGTAAGGACCTTTACCTACGGACACAAGTTATAACTATAACCCTACAAATATCAAATATCAACACCAGACAAGATAAATTAAATTCAAGGCCATGGATTAATTGAGTTTGATCCTCTGAACATGATGGTGTCCTTCATTAGACCCAATTGTACCTGTATCTGAAAGCCCTAAAATGAAGCTCTAAACCCTAACAGTGGCATTCCATCAAACATGAATCAAAACACATAATTAATTATGCAAACACGTTTTAAATGATGATACAAACATGAATATATACTTAGAAATCATTTATAATGCGTAAATTTGCAAAACCAAATTCAAGAAAAGTGGCAAACTGTGATAGTCGCGTAGAACGTTTCTGGGTGTGTTGAGGCTTGATAATGGTCCAAATAGCTCCCAAATATTTACAGGAATTGATTGCTAGCCTTGAAGCACCTTGAATATCCCTCTAACGCAAAATCTGATTGCCTCTTTCTTTGTTAAAAGTTGAGTTTTCTTCTCTTAATCCACACGGTAAAACCTCCTATTTTAGCTCTGGGAATGTTGTGCGTATATAGTATGATCAATTAGGTCAATAAAATTGGATTCAAGCTTTGCAAATTTGCGAAAAATATTGGATTTGTTTCTTTTATGATTTGTTTCTAAAATAAGCCAAATTATGATCTTTTTCAATCCAGATAGCCCTTGTTCGAATTTGCTTGATTTGCTAGTTGTTCATGGACTCATGATGTGCTCACAAAATCAAATCTTTGATTTTATTTGATTATTCCACTATTTAAATTAATTTATTTTGATTTAAATGAATAAAAAATCAAAATAAATAATAAAAATAATAAAATAATAGGTGGATAAGTGTGATACGGTGGGAGAACTGACTTGAGGTTTTGCGTTTGTTTTCGTAAATGTTTCGGTTGAGCAAGAGTCGCCACCGACTTTTTATTTTATCCTAAGGAAAGGTTAAAAAGCACAGCAAAAACCTTTGAGATGTTTTCTTGGGTTCGGGGAGTAGATTATAGAAAGGGAAGGTAGTAGCACCCTTTCTATCCATGGTTATCCATGGGCTCTTAGTTACTTGCTTAGATCACTTGCCTTGCATTTTCAATTGTTTGAAATGGTGCTTTGTGTGTGTGGTTTTGAAAAAAGGTTTTGAAAAGAGGCCATTTGTTGTGGCAACCTTTGTAATGATCCATGTTTGAATGTATACAAAGGTGTATTTGTCTTTTGAAAAGTTTTCAATGTTTTGAAAGTTTGTTTTGACATTGTGTTGTGATGTGTGTTTTGAAAAATGGCAAGGATTTGTTTTGCAAGTTTGATCGAGTAACTAAGAGTTGTCTACCCCTAAATTTACTCAAAGATTTTTCCTATGCTTTAACCCTTTTAACAGTATTGTTCCACCATTGTATTTGGTGGACAATCTTGTGTTAGGATGTTAACGGGACGGGCGCGGGTCATCGTTTAGACCATGAATGCAATGGTGCCAAGTGTCTTTGGCAATTTTTCTTGAGGGACTATGATCATTTTGCTTAGGCAACAAGATAGCGTCATCGAGGGACTATGATCATTTGATTTGTTTTTTTGTTTTGCCAAAGACACTTAACATGCAACCATGGCCCATTTTTGAAGGCAACAAGTGGATGTAACCCTAGGGGTGTAAGTGTGCAAGTGTGTTTTATTGCATACAAGAGTTTATCTTTGAATTAGGATTTTCTATTTTCATTGATTTTATCTTGCCATACACATCCTAATTACTAGCATTTATATTTGAAAGCAATAA